CTTTTTATTAGCTATATTTTTGTGCGCCAACAATACCAAGTGTGTGCACATACCCGATTCAATTTTATTACTCATCAAGATCTCTACGAGCCTACCCTCAAATTGAAATTAATTTAGGCAAGATTAGAGTAAATTAATCTGAGACCTTGGGCATGGTCAAATACATCAATCGAAAGGATTTCACCTCCTGAGTCCAAAACTATAATTATTTCTCAAATCGGTCAAAAGATGACGGAGCTGTGAGCTAAGACTCTGCACTTAACAACAACAAAAAACAACAACAACTCCGAATCGTTCTATGAGCTGCTATGCAGCAGCTTAAAAAAAAGAGAGAGATTGAAGCATAACACAGCGAAGAAGATTTCCTAGCCTTATATCATAGAACCAGTTGGATCAATACGAAGAATTCATACTTACCATATAGCCGAGCCTGGCAGCTCGATGAAGAATTGTTTCCCCTAGAGCCTTGTTCACCACTAACCGTTTCATTTCGGGTGGGGCGCCATTTGGAAAATCGAAGGAGAACTAAGGTATTAAAAAAAAAGAGGGGAAATAAAAGATGAAAAATGTATTTATCTTTAAGCATTTCTAATTGCACTGTTAAGGCAAAGCCGGGGACTGTTAACTGTAATATACAGTTTACCACTGCCAGTTTTTACAATCTCATTGAGCGCATAGAAGCATTTTATTTCTTTTTTAATTAATTTCATTTCATTAAAGTTCAATTAGGCTCTGTAGAATTTAAATTTTACAACCTGAACGGTACTTCAAGCATAAGATAAAGAATAAATTCAGTTACCTATATGACTTAGATATGTCGTTCCTAATTATTAACCAGGAAGGTGGTCAAGCAAGATGATTATCTTTTTATGGGCGTTTAAAGAACGGAACGCTTCCAGACAGGTATTGTAACAAAATACGGTTTCGAGTTCCTATATTTTTGGTAAATGTTTAATGTGTCCTAAAACTCGGCTTAGCGTACGAATATGGCATTGTTAAGTGTTGTTTAATGTGTGATAAAAACTCAGTTTGGCATAGGGATATGACATTGAATCTCTTTGTGCAGGTTCCTAGAACTTCTGTAAGGATTAAACGTTTCCAGGTAAGCTAATCCAGCCTTGACCATAATACAAACGACTTGTTTCGTAACGGAAAACAAAATAGTATATATAAAGTAATGAGAATGGGAAAGCAAGGACGGGGTCAAATTACATGACTGGACACTGGTTCATTTCAGATTTAAAAACAGGTCCAAAAAGATATGTTCTCTTTTAACAACACGTTAAACAACGCGATTCTGCAAATATGCGGTTAGCACAAAACAAAGAACAAACTTATAAGATTCAACTTGACTTCAAATTTCTGTTTGAAAATTGTTTTTAATCTTGTAAAAAACGCGCTTTTGAACGTATTCGCGGACGATCATCAAATGTGGATTTTGTTACATTGTAAGCTAACACGTTACAAAGATCACTCACACAAAGCAATAAAAATAACTGTAATATTTACGAGTATATTGGACAATAAGTATAATAAGGTGTATTCTAGACAATAAGTATAATAAGGTGTGTCCTAGACTCTATGAAACGGTAAAATATATACAAAAACCCCTTTTTTTTATGAACACTAAATAATTCAACATATAGATTTAGCGTAGATTAGAGTGTATTAGAACTTTGGAACAGTTATGATATTTTAGATATTTGAAACGCTCTGTTTGTTTCACTTCTAGAATTATGGTCAAATAATGAACGATAAATGTTCAATTATTCCGTTATTCCCTAACAGAACGGGACAGAGCGTGGTCCAGTGGTAAGCATGCCGGATTATGGATCTGCGAGTCCATAGTTTGCTTCTCGTTACCGGTTTCTCCTCACCCCACCACCACCACCCAAAAAAAATCGCATTCCACACTTTGGGGCCATGGGTGCGTAATAATGGCGACGACCAATCCTACATTAGTAAAAGAAAAGCCCAGAAGTTGGTGTTGGGTGAGGTTAACTGGTAGCCGTTCTTTTAGTTCGAAATTTGAGAATACTAGAACAGATAGCCCTTAAGTATTTTTACGCGAATATCTGAAAACAGACAAACAAACCTAAAAAGGAAATCGAGGAATAAGTATAATAAGGTATGTTCTAGACAATAAGTATAATAAGGTGTGTTCTGGACAATAAGTATAATAAGGTGTGTACTGGACAATAAGTATAATAAGGTGTGTCCTGGACAATAAGTATAATTAGGTGTATTCTAGACAATAAGTATAATTAGGTGTGTTCTAGACAATAAGTATAATAAGGTGTGTTCTAGACAATAAGTATAATAAGGTGTGTCCTGGACAATAAGTATAATAAGGTGTGTCCTGGACAATAAGTATAATAAGGTGTGTCCTGGACAATAAGTATAATAAGGTGTGTCCTGGACAATAAGTATAATAAGGTGTGTTCTACTTCCTTATTTTTCTCTACAGTAGTATATATCTCATATTCATCGTTCACCTCTTTGTTTATTGGTTGCTCAGGTTTTACCAGTTTTGCTTTCCTTTTTTTGTAAGGCTTTGGTATCATATCTAGTCCTGATTTTAATCTTTTTCTTCGAGCCACTTGGCGACCTGTCTGTTTCTTCCGTTTGGAATGCCATGTTGACGGTCTTCGAAAATTGGTTATGTTTGCTTTGGTGACTTTAACTCCTAACTTGGAATTTTCGTCTACAGTTTTTTTCGCTATATTTTCCTCTTCAGAGCTGTTCTCCTCCTTGTATACCTTCGTCAGCAGGTGGTTGCGGAGCCTTCTCTCAGTGTTAGCTTCATGTATAATTTTATTGTTTCGTTTTCTTGTATTAATAGACTTATTACTGTTTCTATGACTTCTAAACGTTAGGTTTCCGTTTCGCCCTAACAATAAAAACAAAAAAAGAAAAGTTAAATATTGCCTACTTACTAAATACGTTAGGCTTCCGTTTCACCCTAACAATAAAAACAAAACAACAACAACAAACGTTACATAGTTTCTACTTACTAAATATACACAACGAAAAACTATAAAAATATCGACAACTGTTTTGTTTGTTGAATTTTTGACAAAGCTACTCGAGGGCTATTTGTACTAGCTGTGCCTGATTTTGAAGTGATAGAAAGAAGGCAGCTAGTCAACACCACCCACAGCCAACTTTTGTGCTACTCTTTACCAACGAATATTTTGATCTAATGTCTCATTATAACTCCCTCGTGGGTTAAAGAGCGAGAATGATCAGTGGCAGCGGGTTTCGATCCCGCGATCCACAGTTCAGGTCCTAACCACTAGGACATACTAGGCCCAAGGAAAATTGAGCAGACCTAATTTTACTATACATTATGTGGTAAGATTCGATATAATTAAATAAAAAGCCCCTGAAATTAACAATTCTGCGAGCGATAAGCTGTAGCTAAAACATCAGAATGTGTAAATGTGTATCTTATATTAAGGTTAATTTATCACTTGAATTGTTATCAGAAAACCGTCACACGTTTAGCTGTAATTAAAAACAGTTTTAACTATACGTCAAAAACTGATGTTTCCTGATAATTTTAACTATAACCATAAAGGGCTGATTACAAAATAAACCACTGTTAAAACATAAAGGGCTGATTACAAAATAAACCACTGTTAAATCATGAAGGGCTGATTACACAAAAAACAAAACAAAAAAACACTGTACAAATATCAGTTTTCTTTTTTCGTAAAAACGAACTAGTCTTCGTGAGATGCGTCAAGTTCGTCACTATGCCAATTTCACGTAAGGTAAACAAAATACAGCCATAATTACAACCAAATTTTCTCTTAACCAGAAAGTTTTAAATTGAATGAAAAATCACTGAACAGCAGATGTTACAGTTATGATAAAGAAACATGAGATTTCTAACCGGTTTGGGTTCTTGTTCTAGCTCCTAATACTCGTGGTTGAAAATCTACGAACTGGTGTCGATGCTGCTGGGCTCTCGTGTTCACATGTTTATCTGAATAATACAGCGCACAAAATAAAGTTAAATTAAATGAAAATTTTTGGAAGAATACAAAACAACGTGAGAATTGTATGTTTATATTTACATAACAAAATATATTTATAGAACGAAAAATGCAAGTTAGGGAATGATAAGGTTGATAATAGGACGCGATAAAAAAAAAAAGTTTGCGAAATGATTATATATAATTCCTCAAATAATTCATAATATGCAAGATAAAATGTCTATAAAAGTCCCAGAAAAAGTACAACGTTATTAAAAACAAACTTTTGTTAGTTATCTTATTTGAACAGGTATTTCAAGATTGCAATTTCATGTTTATATTATAGTGGCGAATTTCAAATATGCCGCAATTGTTGTTTAAATACACGACCCATTGACCTCAGTAACTTGAAATCGATTTATGTTCTCTTGAAAAACACCCTACCTGTTTGGAACGATTTTTACTACAGATTTCCACAGCGCCATCTATTTAGATTTAATATTACACAATTAACTAAACAAGAGTGTCAAATAAAGTCGTTATTTGAAATATACTACGAAGAATGACCTACTTTTCGTTAATGAATCCACGCTTGCAAAGGCTGGGAATTCCTATGAAAAAAAAGCATAACTTTTAGTTGTAGCAACACGTTTATGTACCGAAATTCACAATAAATATCATAATTCAATAAATACATCTTTTAACATTTGATATTTTGTCGATATGAGGAAGCTTGATAAATTCCAATAAATACTTATGCAATACTAGAACAGAATAAATTTCCACAATATTTCAACAAACACTAACGTGTATTGTCTCAAACGAAAGTTTCAGCACAATTCAACAATGTTGTGTTGACTCGGAAGGAAGCTTCGCAATA